ACCAAGTGGTCGGCATAAATTCTATTGGTAAAATGCCTAGCATGATAACAGAACACTTGAAGCTGCCAGATTATGAGGCCTACACTGGGGATTGTTTCCGGAGAACTTCAGCCACACTCCTTGCTAATGCAGGGGGTGATATATTTAGTTTGAAGCGCCACGGAGGATGGAAATCTTCGACAGTAGCCGAGGGATACGTCAAGGATTCTATCAACAATAAAATTCAATTATCAAATAAAATTTTAGAGTGTCAAATACCGGGATCAAGTACCGGGATCAAAATTGGATAGTGTGTCAAGTCCCAAAACCTCCATATCTCAAGCAAAATCAGAACTATCTATTAGTTTGGTATTAAATATTGGTTCGTGTACTGGTTGTACTATTAATGTTAATATTGTAAATAATAACTAGAATATTCATTAGTGTTAAGTTTGATATTTGTTATTTATTTATTCTTGAATATTTCGAAATAAATAATTAGTTATGATTTAGTTCTTCATTTTCCAAAAATCAAAATTCCAAAAGCCCATATAATTTACATGCAGTGTGGCGTGGTAACGTAGGAAAATGAAAAAAAGTGTCACTTCGCACATTGCTATCAATCTATCAATTCGTGAACCTTATCATTTTTTGGCGTTTGTAGAAAAATAGTATTTATATGTCACTTGGTCAAAAATTCATCATAAGTAAAAGGGCTTAAAAAAAATAAGGAAACTGCAGGTCGCACAACGCTCAATGGAACGAAATATGCTTTGAATAACCAAAAGAGGCCGTAAAAGAATAGAGTGGATACAACAAAAAACCCAGGTAATAAATGTCATCCACAGAGTGAAATCCCTCAAATGGCAATGGGCAGGAACCTGGCAAGAAGAACGGACAACAGATGAGCCACAAAAATTACAGCATGGTACCCACGAGGAATTAAGAGACCTAGAAGAAGCCCAAAACTGAGTTGGGACCATGATGTTAGGAAATTAGCAGGGATAACTTGGGCCCGCATAGCCAACTATAGACAACAATGGGCCCAACTACAAAGAGAGTATCTAAATATGTGAGGGAGGCTACACCATAAATCCCAAGCAAGTCTAGAACTGTAGGAACTATGCTCCCATCTTATGAAGCACCTACACAAGCAAAGGGATAGGAGACTGGGTGCAGACATAAAAAGGGGACAAACACCAATAGATAATTCTTACAGATCGCTGTGTTTCCAACATAGGACGCCCTTTCATTAAGGAAAAAACATGATACTGATAAATAACTAACAATAAAAAATATATACAGGGTGCTACAAATTCGAGGTACGAGCATTGGTATCTCGGAAACCGTAATAGATACGAAGATGGTTAAATTAGGGCAAAGTTGCGCCTTGGGATGTTCACCAAGATGCCATCAAAAAAATTTTAAAAATTTCTAGGATTACCGAGTTTTTTGGAAAAAACGGATTTCTTTGAAAATCAATTTTATTTTTTCCTGTAGTTACTTTTTAGAATATCGAAAAACTAATTGCACATTCTCATAGCCACTTTATTAGAACTATCTGGTATTATTTTTATATTTTCAAATTTTCTGATTTGTGAGATACAGATGCCAACTTATTTCTTTTAAATACGGACCTGCATTTTTTATTTGAGGTTTTAAAAGAACTCGGTCTCCTGAGTACAATGATATGCCACACTTAATATTTTTTTTTGTTTCGGACATTTGAACACAATTTATTTAAACTAATTTCAAGTCCGGCTCTGTTTTTTTTTAATATTTAATCTATTCCTCGTTACAAAACTGATAAGCTTTCAAACTTAACAATAACGTGGGGTAAAACATTAAATACGGAAAATCAAATGCAATAAATTAATAAAAAATGATATAATATATACAGTATGATCGAATAAAAACGGCGTCAGCGATGGCTATGAAATGAAGATCGCTGTCATTTTATATGTAAAATAATATGGGAAATGTCATCGATGGTCATTTCATAGCCATCGCTGACGCCGTTTTTATTCGATCATATGGTACTATAAACAATCAAATCATTTCCTCCGGAAGATGGATTGGAAATGGTAGAACAGTATAATGGCCAGCGAGGTTCCTGTCGTCCATAAGAAGAGGGTATGTTCAAAGAGCTATAAAAATAAGATTGAACGAAAAATAAATTTGTGCATTAGGGAGGGTTGTAACTCTTTCGAACATGTAGAGCATTAGAAACTAGTCTGTAGAACCATCTCCGTATCTATTACGGTTTCCGAGATACCAATGCTCGTACCTCGAATTTGTAGCACCCTGTATACTTCAAACTTTTTTTTGGTTTAGCCAAACATATAAGATTTTAATAGTCAGTTAAATCATCTTCTGAAAATTCCGACAAGAGACAGAGCAAACAAAAATGTGAAAAAAGTTAAACCTATCGCAAATCAATGAAAATTTGTACGAGTTTGTGCAGCCATCTATTTTATCCATACGTACTAACAAAATCAACACTGAATCGGTGCTAAATTCAATTTCTGAACGGTTTTAAACCAATCCTACTCACTGGCTGAAGTTACTGGCCATATAAAATTACATTTCCATCAACTGGAATTTGCTTGTTTTTCAGAATAACCCCGCTTTTTTTCTTTGTTTTTTAACGTAGGTAGCACTTCATCAAGTTATTTTCAGTTAAAAAAAGTGAAATTTGATTAATCTGGGAACTAAAAATAGTTCCACTCAATAATGGACAAAACTATCAACATAAATTCAATATTTTTCGACATATTTTTAATGTTAACTTTTCCCATTACTTTTTTTTTCATTTTCAAATACTCAGACACTAAGATGCAAAAAACGCAACGGAGGGATTTTTTTGGTCAATTTTAAAGTGTTATATTTTTGTTATTTTTAGCCCTATTTTCATAATTTTTTTGGCAAGCTGTATGTGATTATGTCAACTTTAATTCGTAAACTCAGTGTTTTATAAGCTTTTAGTATTTGCCATATTATACAGGGTTAATCGAGGGGTTGTTTTTTTAGCTTAACTTTAAAACACCCTGTGCAATAATTTCGTTTGTAAATTTTCCTAAAATATAATTTTACGGTTAGTCTCATGTCTCCTGAGCATTTTTTTGGATCGTGTCAATACATGCCTTCGTTAATTTTTAAGAGCGAAATGAACTTGCCACCAACAATTTGCAATTTTTTCAATTATCATTTCTTTTTGATGTTATTTTTTAAAATGACAAGGCGGCTTTGGTAATTATTGTGAACTATATACTACTATAAACTGCCCATCATGTCCGACGTTTGGGAAACGCTTTGCAGAAGGGTTAGAAGTTAGAAGTCGCGAAGCGGTACCAGCTTCATTAAATGAACCTCACTTGATCCTTAAAGAAGAATTAGGCAACCCCAATGACATTATATGGCAATTATAGCATCCAAAGGATGCAATACAAAGAATTAAGGTATTTTCTACAATTTTTTGTTTGTTTGTATACTTGAGTATTACAGATGGTTTCTTTAATATTCTTAGCCCATGGCCACACAGAAAGCGTTTCTAGCATTTTGCGTTTTTTGCGTCTCAAGCGCTTTTTGCGATTTTACCGTTTTAAGCGCTTTTTTCGATTTGTGTAAATTAAAAACACGCAAAAGACGCGGCAGGTCTGCAGTTTCTATCAAGATGTCAATTAGTAACGTCGCAAACTCGTGGATTCCCGGTCCGTCCAACAATCAATCCTGTGAGAAAGAGATAGGCGAGATCGGCGTCATTAGCGTTGAAGAGACGAAGATAAAAGATGCTGGGATTGAATTGTGGACGGGCCGGGGCATAATTCGGAGACAAACACAATCTACTGCTAGTGCCCAGGGGTGTGTGTAAAAATAATAATTATTATTTACCATTTATTTTAGGAATTGTATTTTATATTATGTGTATATTTTTTTATGTTGTATTGTTGTGGTTAGTACTAGTTATAATTATAATATAATATAATAAATAATTATAATTATATAACAGAATAGTAAATATTTTTAGTTGCTAATGCAATTTTAGGACATGATTTATAAAACATTTTGGAGTGAAACTTCTTTACGCGCGCTGGGAAATATCCCTTTAATTTATTACTTTTTCAACATTTCAAACTACACTTTTTCAGAATCTTCCTAAACAGTAGATGTTCTTTATAAAAATAGTTTTAGATAATACCCTTAAATTAAAAAAAAATGCATACTATTTAATTTATTTTTATTGTATTATTATATATAACGTCCGCCTATGACGGGGTCTTAGAAAACGCTACAGAAAACAAACTGATTTGTTTTCATTTGCGTTTTTTGCGAGACACGCCGAACGCTAATTTTTTAATTTAGTATAAAGTGTCCAATACAGCGTAATATGACGTTACGACAATAGTCACCAAAATCATCTCGTCATATTAAAAAATTACATCAAAAAGTAATGATAATTATTGAAAAAATTGCAAATTGATCGTGATCAGTTCACTTCACTCTTAGAAATTAATCAAAGCATATATTCACATGAATCAAAAAACAAAATGCTCAGGAGTCATAGTTCTGGCCGTAAAATTATTTTTAGGAAAATTTACAAACGAAATTATTGCACAGGGTGTTTTAAAGTTAGGGTAAAAAAATAACTCCTCGATTAACCCTGTATAATATGCCAAATACTAAAGTTTATAAGAAAACTTAGTTTAAGAATTAAAAGAAAGTTGATATAATTATATATACAGCTTACTAAAAATTTCATGAAAATAAGGCTAAAAATAACAAAAATATAACACTTTAAAAATTTGACGAAAATTTTCTCCGTTGCATTTTTTTTTCATCTGAGTGTATAAAAAAATATTAAATAAAATAAATATAACAAAAAACAAAATAAAAATAATAAACTGCACTCATGTAAAACAATTAATTACATAGGAAACGACAATAAACCGGTTAATTTATGTCAGGATATAATTTTGACGTTTCGTAAAGGTGAATCAGGATAAATAATTCCTTAACTACTGTATATATAAACAATTGTTATTGTTTTTCTCGCATCAGTTATAAATTGTTTTCCCTACTTCGAAATTATAAACAATTATTTTGTTTTGCATTTTGATCGGTGCATGCAACAAAACCAGATTGAAAATGTAAGTAAAATTGATGTAAACAGTTTTATTTATTTGTTATTTAGATTTTTACGATATTTTAATAATCTTTAAAATAGTTTATTTAATTTAATAAAAGACAAATACATTTCAAACCAAACTGAAAATAGTATTGTATTCATAATTTTATTTTTTTCTACTGTTTAAAAAATACTGTTAAAACGTTATGCATGCCAAGTATAACACAATAAAAAACCGAATTGCATTCCAAAGAATTTTGAAAAATAAACTATTATTTCATCGGTATAGTCTGGGCTGTGTATATTACCACTGAAAAATACTTATTTATCAAAATATTTTCTATTTTACTTCTTAAATTACTATATTAAAGAACAATATAGAACAATTTATTGCAAGAAATGTATATTAATGTAAAAAGTTCTGTCATGACAAGCAAACTTACAATTTTGTGCTTGCTCCTCCTTTTTTCATTAATATTATACTAATATAAACAAAAAAACTAAAGTAATGTACAACAAACTGGTAGATAAAAAAGACATTCTAATAAATAACACAACACTGGAAATAGTAGAAAAAAATGTATATTTGGGACAATTAATAGACACCTCAAGATCTGTACTACATGTACAGGGTGGTCCAAACTGGTCTGTTTTAATAGAGAAAACCTATTTCCTGACTAGATAGAGCAAAACCGACATAGATGTCATGGGCTCGATTTCTGAGACACATTTAATGGCGTAAACCGCCTGTGAATATTTTCACTGCCAACCGAGATACTTTTTTTTTGAATTTGAATTTTTTACCATTTGGAAAATTATCCATAACTTTTGTATTTTGCGGAATAATAAAATTCTGTAAAAACGTTCTTAAGGTACTTTTTTAAGCACAATCCAGTGGCGTAGTCAGTTTTTTTCTATGCTTGCTCTTTTTATAAGAAATAATAAAAAATATAATTTTTTAAATAGAAATCATAGTTGGCTATGCACTTAAAAAAATGCTGGCGTTTAACCCTTTCCAACGATATAAAGTCATGGGTATCTATTTCTAAGAATCAGAGAAATATTAGGTTTTTTATCTTTATATCGGAGCGGGCCTTGATTTTTTATTAACCTAATTAATTTTTATCACAATTTAATATTATATGTTATTATTTATCTGCATAATTAAAGACTTTTGAAAAGGTAAATTAACATTCTATATTAATATTAGTATTTACAATTGAAATCGATACACTAAACAAAGAAAAAAATTAAAAAAGGTGTTTTTTGAGTGACGAATATACTTTTCTAAAAAAATCATAAAAAATGTTCAAACTGAGCACCTCCTTGTTGAATACACAGTAAACATCTTTTGCGCACAGAGTTACAACGATTTATTAGGTGAATTGGTGTAATAAGTCCAAAAGCTTGCCTGGTAGCTTCTGTAATTCTTCTTTCGTCCCAGTGGTTCTTCCCTTATATATAAGGTCTTTTAATTTCTCTCATATCTCAGTTGGCAGTGAAAATATCAACAGGCGGTTTACGCCATTAAACGTGTCTCAGAAATCGAGCCCATGACATCTATGTCGGTTTTTCTCTATCTAGTCAGGAAATAGGCTTTCCCTGTTAAAACAGACCAATTTTGACCACCCTGTATATATGAAAGAAGCCTCAATCATATCCAAATCTAAAATATCACGTTATCTAAAAAAGAAGAAAACATTCGACCAATGCGAAACCTGGACACTTAAAACGGACATTATAAGGAAACTGTAGGTCGCACAACCCTCAATCGAATGAAATATGCTGAAAATAACAGAGAAAGACCGTAAAAAAGAGTGGATATTACAAAAAAATTCAGGTAATAGATGTCATTCCCAGAATCAAATCCCTCGAGTAGCAATGGCCAGGACACCTGTCAAGAAGAACGGACAACAGATGGACCACAAAAATTACCTAGAGACCTAGAAGAAGACCAAACCTTAGATGGGACCATGATATTAGGAAGTTAGCAGGAAGAAGTATAACTTGCGCCCGCATAGCCAACAATAGATGCCAACAATGGGCCCAACTACAAATAGAGTATCTAAATATCTGAGCTAGAAATAGTGATGATGATGATATAAAAAAATAAAAAATACTAGTTATACTTGTTATTTTGATAACTGAAATCCGCAGACATCAACAAAATATCAAGTTTTTATAATTCTTTTGATGTAATTTTTCACAGATTTTTCTGCTACGGTTTCATGCCACCAGCTAAAAAATTAAAAGCATGCAACGAAACTGCCAAAGCAATATTGGAAAATTAAATTTCATAAATAAGAGAATTAACAAAGGAAAAATTTAATAAGACCCTCCAAAAATTCTTTTATAAAAAATGTAGTATTTCGTCTCACGATAACAAACAAAAAAGTTCTTAACGGAGACATAACGAAAATTCTTTATTCCAATTACAAGGATATATTTTTTTTGTAAAAGTAAAAATTAGTATTTTTTAACTGTCTATAGAAATATTTTATCTTTTTTTAAGGAAATTCGTTATTGTATTGTTGGCTTCTGTGCTGGCTGTGACAATGGCAAGTCAGCCACATCCCTGTCAATGCTGGCCAGACTGGCAGCCTGAAAATGACGCTCAAGGATGGCACTGCGTACCAAAAAGCGAGAAAAGCTTCAGTTGCAATGTTGATCCACCACCAACATGCGTATGCAAGGTAAAAATATAACCATATAGATCTGATAGCATAAATAAAAACATAATATCAAACAAAGTCGTTTAAAAAAGTTTCCTTAATCTTAAATAAACAGAAAAAAATACTATATCATTTTAATATAAAGCAAACAACAAAAAATAATAACTTATAAGAAGTAAGTCAACTTTTAAATGCTTTTAAATTGTTTCTTAAAGTTTGTAACGTCAAATTACATTTATATTTACAGTGTCAAAAAGTTTTATGATCAAGCAGAGTTTAGAAAATTGCGGATAAATATGTTTGCCATAATTTGTTTAACTGCCAACATTCAAAACAAATTTGATCATAGAATGTTTGAAAGTTTAGTCTACAACTTTCATTGGTGAATTATAATGAACAATAAAATATTCTTAGATTGTAATTATCTTCTGTTACTGTTATCTTCTTGGACTGACATTGTCTTTAATATAGTAATTTTAAAGCTTTGGTCAAGTATACCACCAGCTAGTTTTGTTCTTAACTTGCTTAACAAAAAGGCCAAAGTTTGATAATTACCACTTTTGTCTTAGCAAATTGTACAGTTAAACCATTAAAAGTATAAGTAAAATAGAATTAAATAATAATAAATTGCAAACTATTAAATAAAAGTATATACAGGGTGGTCCGAACTGTATTCCGGGAACTTCGACAGCATATTCTGCAGATAAAAATAAGTAAAAAAGTTCGTATAAAGGTATGTCCTAAAATGCTTAGTTTCGGAGATACAGGGTGTAGAAGTTTCATTTTTATTTCGATTTTTTCCAAATAATTTCTGAAGTAACGTCAATATTTCGATGAAAATTGGTGTCTGGGAGTTTTGTGACATGATAAATTTGATTTTGATGTCAAAATGACTCCTATTTGTAGGGGGCGCCACCTACATGTGTTTTAACTGTTTAGAAGAGTAATAACTTTTTGTCCGTACCGGTATAAAACTACTGACTAAAAAAATATACATTTCCATGATTTTTTACGTAAAAAATGTCTCTTGGTACAAATCGGTTGCTCATAGAACCGTTCTCAAGATATTTAGAATGGAAATAGTCAATACATGTCATTATTGACAAAAAATAAGCACACGTTTAGTATAGCTATTAGACTGAAATAATAAATTTTATTTTTTTTAAATTAATCATATTTTTTCTGCGAAAAAATGATGATTAAACAATTTCTGTTGTACTTTTGGCACAAAAATATTTCAAATTTATGATTTCAGTTTAATAACTATTTAGTCAACATGTTTAATTATGTCAGTGATGACAGGTATTGATAATTTCGATTCCAAATATCTCGAGAACCATTACTCTTAGAGATTTTTACCAAGAGACCTTTTTTATGCAAAAAAAGTCTTGAATGTATATTTTTTTACTCAGTAGTTTTATACAGGTATGGACGAAAACTTATTAGTCTTCAAACCAGTTAAAAAATATTGACATGAAAATCGAATTTCCCATGTCAAAAAACTCCCAGACACCAATTTTCATCCAAATATTGACGTTACTTCATAAATGATTTTGAAAAAATCGAAATAAAAATGAAACTTCTACACCCTGTATCTCCGCACCTAAGCATTTTAGGACAAACATTTATACGAACTTTTTTACTTATTTTTATCTGCAGAATATGCTGCCGAAGTTTCTGGAATACAGATCGGACCACCCTGTATAACATGGGTATTTATTTTAAAAATTGAAGAATTTTGTAAAATTTCACAAAGAAAAGAACCATTTAAAAAAGTGAGAATTTTTAATTTTGATTAGTGGAAACTCATAAATTTATTTTAACACCCTGTAGCATCTAAATGGGATATATGTATTTACATATATATTTTTGTTCGTCTCTATACAGGGTGAGTCTTAAAGAAGGGCAAATATTTTCAAGGCTGGTAGATCTCGATAAAAGAAACGTATTTTCTCTTTACCGTTTTTGAATAAGTCGAAAATAACCGAGTTATTCAAGTTTGAAAATTAAAAAAAAATAAATATTAATTTTTAAAAAAATTTGAGACACCGGATTTTTTCTGTATTTGTGTCCCTTTTAGTGCTGCAACCATGGAGTAAAATCAGAGATTAACAAATGTTACCGTGGGAAAATTTGTGGTAAACAGGTAGTTCTAAAAACTTTTCTAAAACATATAGGAAAATTTAAAAGAAAATTCATGATTTTCAAAAAAAAATTATTTTTCGGTTAAATTTTGAGAACCACTGGATGTTTTCTGGGTTTTCCTACTTGAAAATTGAATCTACTACATAGGTTACCATATTATGGAAATATTATATTTCTTAACTAAAAATTTCAAAAAATTATAAACTTTCAAAAAAAAAATTTTTGCAAAAGAAAATCTCATAGACGTGTTTCTGGAGTCAAAATATATATTACTAAGAATATACTACTAAAAATATTTGCACTTGTTTAAGACTCACCCTGTACATAACACTCCTATCAAACTTGATTACTCTAATTTCAGAACAAATGACAACAACTCTGTCATATCGATTGGTAACAATCATTCCAGATCACAAGATTGAAAATAAACTCGCACTTCACTTCACTTCGCTTCACTGTTAGGTGATACGAAGTTAGCCATGTCAGCAAGTTTACAAAATTAACAAAATTATGAAAAGAACAATACATAATTAATAACCTTTTACCGTCACTATTTTTTTCTAAACATAAAAGCTCTAAAAATCCAGTTTAATTAACTTCAGTACATCTATAAGTCTGTTTTTTTTCTAAAATTCTATTTTCATTTACTTTATATTTCAATTTAACCGGGTACAGATGTTATATCAATGTTTTAACAAATGTATTTCTTTTGTTTAACGAACCGCCTACGTGGATAAGTAGGTGGCTTAACACAGAAACAGAAATACAATTTTCTCTTACTTTTGTGTTTTAACTGGAGTAATTAAGGTTATGAAATAGCAAATTAAACTTCGCGGTAGTAACCTTTGTGCTAGACAAATGAAAATAATTTGCTGGAAAATTCGAAACCAGACAAAGAGAAAAATTATGTTTTTTTTTCCGAATGTGTTTTTGTCGCCCACACAGAGAGTGAACTAAAATCGACAAAGTACCTTTGCAATTTTTATTGCCACGGAGCTTGACCTCGCTAAAATTATCATCGATTCTCGGTTCTTAGCCGTCTTAACACCATTTTTTTCGACAGTATGGTATTATAGATCATATTAATCCAAATATAAACAAATAAATATTACTAAAAACATTGTATATTATATAAATAATTCGTATTTTTTTTAGGATAAAGGGAAAGATGTATCACTACCTTCTGGAGAAATCAACTGCCTTGGCCAAATTACCAAATTTGATAAAGACGAATGTGAAAAAACAGCAGAATGGGAATCTTGGTATCAGAAATATCCACAATACAGAGCACAACACTAATTCCAGTGATGTGGATTTATATAGAACATACTCAATTAGTGTAAAATAATTTCTAAGAAATGTTGTATTTTTATGTTTTTAATATAGGTACCTATTAATTGTTATAATAGAAAATATATTATAAAGAAAATCATACGAATATATACTTTTATGTGTTTTATTTTTTTTTATTCTTCGGTCAAAATATAACATTAAATGTTATATAGGGTGCCCCAGAATAAGTGCAAGTATTTAACTGGCTTTGAAAAAAATTCCAAAAATGTTTGCAAAAAATTTCGAATTTTCGAAAAAAAAATTTTTCGCGGAAAAAACCTTATAGGCGTGTTTCTTGGGTTGAAATTTTTTGAAAAAATTTTTGGATTTTTTTTTTTAGTTTTTAGTTAGATAGCTCCTGATAATATGGCAACATAGGTAATAGATTAAATTTACAAGAAAGAAAATCCAGAAGGATCCAGTGGTTCTCAAAATTTTACTCTAAATTTTTACTTTAAAAAACTCCGTTATTTTGGACTTAATATGAAAATATATGTTTCTTTTATCGAGATCTACCATCCCTTAAAATACTTGCACTTATTTGGACACCCTGTATTTAATATAATTTGTATTTGAATATGAAGAGCCGATAATTCTTGACTGATATACAGGGTGAGTCTTAAATAATTGCAAATATTTTCAGGGATGGTAGATCTCGATAAAAGAAATATATTTCCTCTTTCCCGTTTTTCAAATAAGTCCAAAATAACCGAGTAATTTTAATTTGAAAATTAAAAAAAATATATTTGCTTACATTTTGAGAACCACAGGATCTTTTCTGGGTTTTGTTTCTTGTAAATTTAATCTACAACCTATGTTGCGATATGGTCAAGAAATTAGGTTTTTTAAACGAAAATTTAAAAAATCCCCAAAATTTTTTTTGAAAATTTAAAAAAGTTTTAGACGTGTTTCTGGTGTCGAAATATACTACCCCCAGAAATATTTGCACTTATTTAAGACTCATCCTGTATATGAATGAGTTAAAGATGTAAGATAGAGATGTTGACTGAGTAAGACTTTGACGGTACGTCTGACACATATAGGTAAATAGACCTTATAATAGTTAACTTTATATTAATTAGCTATTTTGTAACAACGCCTGATGTACAAACAAGATAACTTTTATTAATGAAAAAATCAAAATCAATAAATAGATAACTAATATTATTATCACTTAATGAAATAGGCGTAAATAATTTCAAATCACTTAGCGGAACTGATAGTCTATTGTGATTACCAAACGCTATTTCCACTGCAAAATGTTTCAATATGCGTCAAATTTCATCAGATTTCCCGCCTGGCTATGAATAAATATTATGAATCCATCTATGAAATCGCATTATTGGTTGGGATTGACTCTAATATAATCTAATTGTTCTTGTTCAATATCAAATTTCTTAAAAAATATCTATACTTCATTACTCTTGATTGTAACAAACATCAAAATACTCATATTTTCGTCTTTTTTCTTTTATATACATATAATATAAAAAAAATATTAATATTATCTTTTTATCTAACATCCTGCTGGTTTAAGAATATTCAATCGGAAAAAAAGCGTCAAAGACGACTGGGAAATGTTGTCGTTTACTAAAAATTGACATAAAACTTTTCAAAAATTAACGCTAAATATAGAAAGATTAAAAATGAATAGTTTCCCCAAATCTTCTTCTTCTTTCTCAGCCTGGTTCCATCCAGTGTTGGGTATAGGCCTCTTCTAAGTTTTCCCATGCTTCGCGATCTCTAGCCAATCTTATCCATTGTTTTCCTGCCACTGACTGTTCTACCGCCATCGACCCATCTCTTTTTTGGTCGGCCCGCAACATAGTACCTTGTTGTTCCCCTAGTTTTCCATAGAATGACTTTTTGGGGCCATCGGTCTGGATCCTGTCTTGCCACATGCCCTATCCATTGCCACTTCAGACTTGCCACTCTTTTAACAACATCTATTAGTTTTGTTTTTTGACGTATGTGGGTGTTTCGTAGTTGTTCTGCTGTTTTTCGGGTAATTGCCATAGTATCTAAGCAATTCGTAAACACAGGTAGAATGCAGCTGTCGTAATTGCCATAGTATCTAAGCAATTCGTAAACACAGGTAGAATGCAGCTGTCGTAAGCCTTTTTCTTTAGGTTGATGGGCACCTTTTTATCCTTGAAAATATCGCTCATATTTCCAAATGCTAACCATGCCAAATGGATCCTTCGTTTGATCTCCGTATTTTGGTTCTCTTTACCCAGCTTGATTTTATGACCTAAATATATATATATAATGGTCTACGTTTTCAATAACAACATTGTCTACGGTAATGTTATGGATATATTGTTGCTCATTATCTTGGTCTTCTTCAAGTTCATTTTAAAGCCAATTTTCTGGGATTGGTCATTAACTCCTTTAGCATGGTGTTCAGTTCTTGAATGTCGGTGCTCAGCAAGACAATATCATTCGCGAACCTAAGATGGCTAAGGTGTACCCCATCGATGTTTAAACTTCTATTTTCCCATTCTAATTTCTTGAAGACATTTTCCAGTGCCAGTGTAAATAACTTAGGAGAGATGGTATCTCCTTGTCTCACGCCCTTGCCGAGTGGTACTTTTTCTGTTTTGAGGTCATCATCTAATTTAACTTGGAAGGTTGCATTATCGTAGATATTAGTGTATAATACCTATAATAATGGAATAATATCTTTAATTGATTCTCGCGTCCTCCATTGCAGCTAGAAATGACCAGGTTTTGATGCTGTCAAAGGCTTTTACACAATAGGTAGCCTACAAAGGCCAAATGTAACGGTATATTATATTCAGTTGTTTTTTTTTTTCCATCTATTTTCCCCAAATCTATTAACTGAAAATTATTTTTTCTCGAATTTCACTACACCATTTAAAAATCATTTTTATTCAATACAATAATAATTATTTAACGCCAGATTGCGGTAAGTGCCATTAAAATATAAAGAAGGGTACGGGTCAAGTAAATGACGTCAAGGACTTAACCTCGCCAAAATTATCATCAATTATCATCCTCAAGCCGTCTTTGACGCCGTTTTTTTTTTCGATCATATAGTATATTTACCAATCACAAATCAAATGTCGTTTCATTGTTGATGCCTACCCCGTCAAATCTTCTATGATCATCTGATCATTAAAATGACTAAAAAGAGCGCAAAGAAAACAATCAAAAAACTTCTCATAGTTAAACTTATCATTACAGTTGGGGGTTGGAACTTGGAACCTTTGGTGTTAAAGTGTTTAAACAAATATTAATTTGTAACCACAATATACCAAAATATTTTTGGTGTATTGTGGTGAATTAGTGTTTTAATTTGCTGTTAACTCTTCATAGGGCAGTACTAATTATTTTCTAGTTTGATCAAATTGACTTCAAAAATATATAAACTAGCACAAAAGAAGCATATCTTTTTAATTTTTCAAAAAGTTAACAAATAAAACATTTTTCAAAAAGTTAACAAATAAAGGAATGGGAGGGGGTGGTCGATTTTTCAACCAGAGTCTGTTAAAGCAAATAGATAATATGTAATGATCTAATGTATATATAGGCCAGTAAATGTAGCCGAGTATAATATGTAAAGGTGGAAAAAATTAGTAACCAACCAATCTCAACAGGAATGTGTAGATAATGATCTCCTATTTAACCCCTCAAAAGTCCCATTCGGTCCCAGTGGGGGAAGTTTGTAAAAAATCGCCTCCATCTTGGATTTTTTCGTTTTTTTCAAATATCTCCGTTTGCATCACTTTTCTCGAAAAAACTAAGGATATGTTTTTGTAGAGAATTAAATTTACAATATTTTACCTTAAATCATTTTCTTTCTAAAATAAATAGTAATTGAGATAGAGCAATTTTTTACTATACGTTTTATAAATTTTCCAGTTTTTTTAAACCAATCGGCTATAATTTTTACGTTAACAGTATAGTGTTAATATAGATAAACAAAGTATAATTTTAAGCATTAAAACAATGAAAAAAAAAATCGTTTAAATATTATTTATTAAGTAAAATTATTTTTAAAAAAATTATTAAATTTAAGTTATAAAAAAGTAAAATCTATGGCGTCATTCTGAGCGTCATTTTCGTCCTCAATTAAAATAGTTTTGTGCAACTAATTCCACAGCACTGACCACACTTTGAAGAACATTTAAGACCCAGTTTTCTACAAGAGCGATTTTTAGAACACTGACTCTCTTTGCAATTGCAAAAAAATGATTTTAGTTAAGTCAGGAGGCGCCACTTCTGTTAATTGAATAGGTGTTAGATTGTCTTTTTGATCGTTCTTCCATCCATATTGTAAAGGATCTAACTTATTACAAATCCCATTGTTAAATCTAAAAAATACAACTTATAATATTTCATATAATAGATATTTTTACAGTTACCAGAGTAAATGGAGTTTTGCAGAGTTTTCAGATGGAGGCAAATTAGCTAAATTAAAGGTAGTCTTAAGGGCTTGTCCTGATGTAATCCTATTATATAGAGTGTATCTAGTAATAACAATAATATAATAATAGATCCCGTATATAGCGTTTAACGTCTTGGGAGGGAAGGAAGGTAATGTGGCTAGCACTACGCTGTAACCGCCTATTATTACCTCAGGATTGTGAATCCCAAGTACTCATTTAAGGTTGAGTCGACCTAGCTACCCAAACTATTTTTATTTTATTAAAAATAGACGACTGATGAACTACCGGCTGTAGGATTCGAACCCACAACCTATCGATTGTTAGACGAGAGCTGTACCTCTACACCACCGGTGTAGAGGTACCTATAGAGTGTATCTCAGATGGATAATATGTTTAATATCGCTTGGGCAGTGATATAGATTTAAAAGATAATTTAATTAGTCAACATTAAATTAGCTTTTAAAGCTAAACAAACTACACAAGCTATATCACACATATTCACCATCTGAGATACACTCTATACAATAGACTTACATCAAGACAAGCCCTTAAAAATATCTTTAATTTAGTTAATTTCTCTCCAACTGAGAACTCTGCAAAACTACATTTACTCAGGACACAGTTACCTGAAAGTATTCAGGCAACTGTAAAGATATATCTATTACAGGAAATGTTATAAGTTGTATTTTTTAGATTCAAGAATATATTGGTAACAAGTTAGATCCTTTACAATATGGATGGAAGAAAGATCAAAAAGGCAATCTGACACCTAATCAATCAACAGAAGATGTGGCGCCTCCTGACCTACTAAAATTAATATTTTGCAATTGCAAAGAGAGCCAGTGCAATAAAAATTGCTCTTGTAGAAAAAAGGGTCTTCAATGTTTTTCAAAGTGTTGTCAATGCTACGGAATCAGTTGCACAAACTTTTGTATTTTAGTTGAGGACGAAAATGACGCTCAGGATGACGTCCTAGCAGATTTTATTTAAAACTTTAATTTAATAATATTTTTTTTAAAGTTATTTCTAATTGTTTTAATGCATAAATGTATACTTGTTTTATCTATATTAACGCTATACTGTTAATGCAAAAATTATAGCTGATTGGTTTAAAAATCTGGAAAATTTATAAAACGTATAGTAAAAATTGCTCTATCTCTATTACTATTTATTTTAGGAAAAAAAAATGATTGAAAGTAAAATATTCTAAATTTAATTCTCTACAAAAAAGATATCTTTAGATTTTTCGAAAAAAGTTATGCAAACGGAGATATTTAAAAAAAACGAAAAAATCCAAGATGGCGGCGGGTTTTTTTAAACTTCCCCCACTGGGACCGAATGGGACTTTTGAGGGGTTAAATAGGAGATCATTATCTACACATTCCCGTTGAGATCGGTTGGTTACTAATTTTTTCCACTTCAACCTCCAGATTGGGGCCTAATAATGTATAAACTGTATCCTTGTTTATGAAAGACAATAAATTTGTCGAAACGTCGACCAGGTACTAAAGAATTAACCTGAATTTTATTTTGACCTAGATCCAACTAAAAATGGCGTTAATTAAATCATTTGAATAAAAAATAACAATCTAGAATAATCTAGTAATAAAGAAACATTATAAACTGTTGAGTATTTTTAGAAAGTTGTAAAATATAAATATTCTCACATAAATAGATGATTTGTCCAAACAAAGTCATAAAAACAATGTACTACAGTGGTTTAAAAATAATCTAGCATATTATTTTCATACATAATTCAAAAAACTTTTGATTGATTTATTCAGGGAAATATCCGTTTAAAAATAAGAAAAAGAATAAAGGTTAAATCTTGTAACCATTGCCGTAGGAAAAAATGCAATAAAAAATATAAAGGGTATATAGAAGTCTAAGACATGAAAAAATAATATGATCATGATTCTTAAACGAAAAGCCGATTTTTAGCGGAGGAAAGAAAATTCTAATCTTCATTTTTGAACCTTTGTGAAATATGTCACTCAGTAAAATTGTCAGAAAATGTCTTTTAGACTCCTTCACACTCAGGATTTTTTAATTTATTGATGAACTAGGGGGAATGCACTCCCGCTAATGCTGGATCCCGCAAATGCGGGATCCGGTCCAAGATTCCGCGGGATTTATCGTGCGGGGTCCGCGGGGAATGACACATTACTGGGTAACCGAATCGATCTCGATCGAGGTCAAACTCCTTCATTCCGGACCGATGAGTCGAGCTTCGAACCCGGGGACCCGTTTAACTAGTACTTATTGTTAATCTAAGACTAGTACTTGTGGACAATTTCATCAAATAAACTGCCGGACATAATTATTATCGGGACAGCAAAATTTTGGGGTAAATTTAAAGTTGAATATCTCTTTGAACTAAAAAAAGATTTTGGGATGCGGTTTGGGGCAGGTATTATAGATGCATCTATTGTGATTAAGATGCTATGTGGTTTTCGAAAATATATTTAGCAAATTCTCGTATACAAGGTGTTTTATAAGAGAGCAAAATTTAGTCAAGAATCTTTTACCGCAAATTTACGAGTTTTAAAATCGAAATTTTACCAAGTACGACTAATCTGTATTGAAATTAGAAAAAACAATTTGATCGGTTTTTTTTTTTTGTTTTAAGGAAAATTGACTTTTTTTCGAAAAATATGCATTTTTAGTCATGGTCCTAAGTGGTACAAAAAGCTTTGTACATTCTGCATATGCCAAAAAATTATTGATATAGAGTGTATCTAAAAGCAGATAACTAACACAAGTTAAAAAAACTTCAACATCAGAATAATATTTTTATTTATAAAATAAGTAGATAAATTATAATAAAATTTAAGTTTATTTATTATTAAATATATTTTTTAAACACCCTGTATAAATCGGTCCAAATTTCTGTACAGCTAGTTTAAGATACACGCTATATTGTGGGCCTATGCAAAATGTACAATGCCTTTTGTACCATTTAGGACCAAATGTATGACTATTATTTACAGTCCCGCAATTTTGCCGATCCGCGGGATTGATTGCTTTAATCCCGCGGGTTTGCGGGATTGAGATTTTGGTGCGAGATTGCATTCCCTAGGTGGAACAATATGAAAAAAATTAAAAACTAATTTTTTCTAAAATCTTCGCGGACTAATTTTTTTATAATAATCTTTATGTTCATTTCTGGCAAGGATGTATTTTTAAGGAAAACATATTTTCTACTCATATTTTTAAACTAAACAGAAATATAAGTTAGTTAAAACAGAAGATTTTAGAAAGAAAAATGAGTTTTTAATTTTTTTCATATTGTTGCCACGCCCACTCGGTGCCCACTGAGCGAGTATATAAACGCTCAACTTGTAGATTGTACTTTAGTTTATAATCATCTGCTGTTGATGCTAACATGGTTAGCGAAACGCGCGTCCAGTGTAAAAGTAAAAGTGTTTTGGTGTATTGTGGTGATTTAGTGTTTTTATTTTGCTGTGTAACACCAAAGGTTCCAACCCTCAACTGTAATCATAACCTACAAATAATATACCAAAAGAAAATTTAGAAATATATAAAATAAATAATGATGCGCGCTTATGCATTGTTGTTAAAGAAGATGAGAAAATCTGCTTAATATATGTAAAGTGTGTTTATCCGTTGTCTAAACTCAATTATAAAGAATAATTGTTTGTTATTTTCCTATATAAGAATATAAAAACAGCCATTGTTGAGGTAAAAATAATTTTGAAATTGAGTGTGGAAGTTATCTCGTCAAAGCTAATTTTTTCCTGAACTATATAAAGAGAAAATGTAAGTTTTTTTTAGAAACATTTTATTTTGATTTTGAATTGAAGATGAATTATTTCATATGCGTTTATGGGACATAGATATAAGTATAAACCAAAATAACTGCCCACATAGTATCACAGTAACTTTAAATCTAGGTAAATTCTATTTTTACTCTTGACAAATTTGTATTTACTATAAAGTATAATAATTTTTCAATTATTATACTTACCATCTCAAATGATTATTATTTTGAAATAAGAGCCATAGCACAATATGCACAGATACCAAACTTTCAGACGTTTTATCAGGGTGGGTGCCTTGAGATCATCATCGTCAACGTTTTCAGCTTATTCAACCATTTCCAATTATGGTGTAGCCTCCCTCACATATTTATGTTGACTATTCAAGCCCAAGTTATCTCTGCTAATTTCCTAATATCATGGTTCCATCTCAGGTTTAGTCTTTTTCTAGGTCTATTAAATCCTTATGTTCTGTATGTAATCTAATGTTCTTTTTCTAATTGTTCTGTATGTAATCAAAAATTCTTATGTTCTCTAATCTGTATGTAATACTATGCTGTAATTTTTGTGGTACATCTGTTGTCTGTCCTTCTTGACAGGTGTCCTGCACATTGCCACTTCAGGGATTTCATTACGTGGATAACATCTATTACCTAGGTCTTTTGTCGTATCCACTCTATTTTTTACGGTCTTTCTTCGTTATTCCCAGCATGTTTCGTTCCATTGAGCGTTGTGCGATCTGCAGTTTTCTTATAATGTCCGTTTTGAGTGTCTAGGTTTCGCATGCATAGGTCTTAACTGGTAGTACCCATTGGTCGAATGTTTTCTTTTTTAAATAAAGTGGCATTTTAGATATGAATGTGATTTAGTTTCTTCTTTCTTTCTTGTTCCATATGTACCTTGAGATTGTGCTATAATTCAGAGTAGGAAAAAAATGAAGAAAGAAGGAATGTTTTATCTTCCTTGTACATTTTAACGACGTTTTTTAGTATTTTTATAATATCTCTACAATAATATCTTTTACCATATCACTTTATAATCATAATTATTATAATTTAACCTTTAGGAAGTTGGTTATTGCATTTATGGTGTCCATGATTGCCGTTGCGTTGGCAACAAGTCCACCCCATCCTTGCCAATGTTGGCCTGACTGGACACCTGTCCAAGATGGAGATGGCCATATATGTGAAAAAGGCGACAAAAGATTCCAATGCAACGTTGATGTTCCTCCAACTTGTATTTGCAAGGTAATATTGAGATACTACAAAATTGTTATACTTTAAGTAATACAATATACAGGGTGGTCCGAACTGCATTTCGAAAAATTCAGCAGCATATTCTGCAGATAAAAATAAGTAAAAAAAGTTCGTATAAATGTATGTCCTAACATGCTTATTTTTGGAGGTACAGGGTGGAGAAGCTTCATTTTTATTTCGATTTTTTCCAAATAATTTCTGTAATAAAAGAATTTCTTCTTCTTCTTCCGTCTTCATACTAGGCGAATCGCCTGTTTGGTTTCGTCGTCTCTACCGGTCAGACTGACAAGTTGTCGCTCCATCGTTTTCGTGGACGTCCTAAGCTTCTGCCACCTAGCGGTGATTTGTCGCGTGCAACTCTCACTATCCTTCTGTTGTCCATTCTGCTGATATGCTCGTTCCATTCTTCCTTTCTGCTGAGTACCCAATCATTTACATTTTCCACCTTGCACGCTCTTCTTATGCTTTCATTTCTCTCCCTGTCCAGAAGCGTCTTTCCAGCTATTCTGCGTAGTACTCTCATTTCGGTTGTTTCTAGTAGTTGTTTAGTTTTCGCTGTATCAGGTCGAGTTTCTGCAGTGTATGTCATTATTGGTCGTACCGTTGCCTTGTAAATTCTCGCTTTAGTCTCCACCTCAATGTTTTTATTTCGCCATATTGTATCATTCAGGCATCCTGTTATTCTAATTGCCTTCATTGTCCGTTCTCGCACCTCCGCTTCTACATCACCATATCCTGAGATTTCTATGCCTAGATACTTAAACTTCATCTCTTGCTGAACAACATTGCCCTCGACTTCCAGTTTGCATCTTAGTGGTACTTTTGATGTCGTCATGGATTTAGTTTTCTGGGTAGATATTATCATATTAAGTGATTTGGCAGTGCAATTAAATCGATGTAATAAGCGCTGTAGATCGTTCTCATTTTCAGCTACCAATACGGCGTCATCGGCATAGCATAGAATAGTAATTTCCTGGTCGCCCATACTGTATCCCTTCAGTAAACGTACATTTCCTATTATTCATCAATGATAATCATCATGCAAAAGAATTTATTGTAACAAAATTAATAGTATTTATTAATAATAGATATTTTACAAGTTTACTAGTTTTTAGATTTTTCATTCAGCGTATAGTCTAAAAAGTCTAAATAGATTTTTTATTAATATTTAGGAAAATGGCAAAGATGTCGTTCTGCCTTCTGGTGAAATAAACTGTGTCCAAATTGATCACACAAAATATGACAAGAGAGACTGCGAGACAACTCCAGAATGGGAAGCTTGGTTCAGCAAATATCCTAACTATAGATTATACGACTAGGTTAGCTACTTACTAATATATTTACCTATAGTTTATATTAAACCCCTTTGTTATACAACTAGAAATACCTAAGTAAAAATATAAAGTATTGTTATATTAAAAGTTGTCTTCTTTTTCTAAAGTCTATTCAAGGTGAGTCTTAAATAAGTGCAAATATTTTTATACCCCAGAAACACTATTTTTTTGGACTGGACCCCAGAAAATGTTTTTTTTTCGAGAAAATTTTTTTGGGAAATTTCAAATTTTTAGAAAAAAATTGTGGAATTTTTGTTAGTTTTTAGTTAAAAAACTTAAATTTCTTGATAATGTGGCAACAATAGCTCTCAAATTTTAAGCAAAAAATATTTGAAGAACGTTAAAGAAAAAACATGTATCTTTTATCGAGATCTACCAGCCCTAAAAATATTTGCACTTTTTTCAGACTCTCCCTGTATAGTCTAACCAACATTAAACAACAAGAAAATAATCTACTGTTGATATACCAAATTTTCAATAACATTTTTAAGATTACTCGTTATATATACCGGGTGTTTCTCAAAAGTAGCTCACCCCTATAACTTTTTAATTTTTTTTTCAGATAAAACACGATATTTGGAAAAAAAACGGTATCTGACATAAATTGGGATTGATTGATGTAGTCAATTCGTCGGCTTTATGCCAAAAAGGCGTATCTCGATTTTTGGCGATTTTGAGATATCAACGTCGTGAAATGCCCAATGGGTCATATTTTAACATAGCGAATTTGCGCATCTCAATATTGTACCTTTTTCATTTTATATTCGTTTAAAAATTTGCCCCATCTCAAATACTGCAATTCTTCGTTATGACGAAGAGACGTATGTTGAGATAGGGCTCTTTGTTATACCAATTGTTATACTACAAGAAAGATGGAATTTGAGATAGGTCCTTTTGTTTTAAGTTATGAAAATGCATGCGAGAGAAAATCACACCATTCTACCAAATTATTTTCTGATGGTTGCTTGAGACAAAATAAAACTTCTATCATGGCAGCAGCTCTCTTTTACAGTGTGATTTTGAGTCTGTTTTTTCGCCAAAAACCATTGTTAGAATGAGCTAGACTCTGCACATAGCTGTATCGGGTATGCAAAAGATTGTCCGAGAAAAAATGGCCGAAGAAAAATTGATCGAAAGCAAAACAACGAAACGAAAATTGCCCTAATGGAAAAATACCCGAAATTATAATTTCCTTAAGAACAAAAACTTGCCCGAAAAATACAATAATTTTTATCCCATTGGCATTGTCATCCATGTCCATTTTTGGAAAATTTTATTTATTGTGCCTATCATCATCCTGCATAAACACGTAGAATGGAAGTCGAATTTGTTATAATTGAACAGGGAAAACAGAAACTGTTAGTCCACAGTTATTTGTATCAAAAAGGCACGAATGAAGAAACATGTTTTGTTTTTGTTTAGTTTGGTTTTTATTAAATGGACCGTTTAATAAAAACCAAATGCGTTGTATTAATGCCCTCAATTAACTGAATAATTACTAAAAATATATTAGTTAAAAAAATGTATTTTTGTATAAAAAACAATATTATTAAAATAAGCTAGATAAGTGTATTTTAATTGATGATTGTCTTTGCTTCTGGAATGAAAATTGTCTTTGTTTCCAGTTGATCTAATCCATCGCGAATAAAAGTATTTAAAAATATTTGTTTCTGATTTTTTGGTGATTTTCAGATTTTTTCTGTATGTATGTATTGTATTTTCTTGTATGTATTCCATAATGTGAATATTGTATTTTTTTCCTTATTAAGAACACTTTATGGGGCGTATGTATACTTTTCGTTCGGAAATAAATTTATTATTATTATAACAAAAAGGCCTATCTCTATTAAACAACTAAAAAGAAATTATTTATTAGAATTTACGCACGATTTATCTTCAGAACGTTTCCTTAATGTCTCCGTTTAAGTGTTAATACAAAAACGCTATTAAAAAATCAAAGACTTTTACATTTGTTGGCCAAATAAAGTAAGTGATTTTCTTTAAATGGCTCTCCTGAAAAGTAGCAAAAAACGAGATACGCCTTTTCGTCATAAAGCCGACGAATTGTTTTCGATCACTTCCTGTTTCACCGGAAATGACTACAAATTTTGATTTTTAAATGGCACCCTCAATATTGTTTTGCTTTATTCGATAGAAAATGACACTCTGAATAGAATGACATACCATATGTCAACTTTTGACATTTTCTCTTAAAAGAAAATCCATCCAGAGCATTGTAATAACGAGTAAAAAATAGAATATCTTTTTTAAATATTCCATATATGAGACTGTAAAGAACAGTACGTAATTAAAATTTCAAGCTATTTTGTACAATTTAAAATTATTTTTTTTATTTTATTTCATATGTCAAAAACAGACCCAGTGCATTATTAAATGTACTAAAAAATTATTCCATTAGTGTTATTCCTGCGAGCGGATTTTTTTTATATAAATAAAAAGACACATGCAAAAAGGTTTTCATTTTACGTTGTTTTTTTTTAATATTCTCCTAACAACGCTGCATTTAAAATGGCGGTCCAGTTGTAATATAATAAAGATTTAATTATATTTTTCTGTTTTAAAACTGATATAACTTTTTTTATTTTTTTCAGATAAAAAACAAAATTTGGTATCTTAGTATATGACGTAAATTAAGATTCAATTGTTTTCGATCACTTCCTGTTTCACCGGAAATGACTACAAATTTTGATTTTTAAATGGTACCCTCAATATTATTTTACTTTATTCGATAGAAAATGACACTCTGAATAGAATGACATATTATCATATGTCAACTTTTGATATTTTCTCTTAAAAGAAAATCGATAGCACTCTAGATTTCAATCTAGAGTGCCATGGCGGTGTTAAAAACACTAATTTTTAATCAAGGATCCTTGGAAAAAAATTTAATTACCTATTGTTTTTCGTGTATTGTCCTGGCCGATTAAAAGATGCACAAATCGTATTTTTAATCATATCTCAATGTTTTCAAATGAAACGAAAGTGGCTCATTCTCAGATGTAAAAAAACTGAAAAACTAAACAAGTAATTTTTATTACTTTTTTTGCTGTTAAGCTATAGGTACATACAGAGACAATTATATTCCTAGTACAAAATTTAATTTTAAAACAGTCGCAGCGATTTAAAAATCTTAATCGCACTTTCAATAATCGTAATTACAGAATCGCAGTTTTGCTCATCTCTATTAGACAAACTTATAAACAATTTTAGATCATCGTTTTTCCAGCCTATAACACCTACCCCACAGTCTTTATCTCAACTCATTTAACCCCATTATCACAATTGAATCGCCTTGGTCGCCCACGCTTGCCCTCAATCCACCCCCAATTTGCTTGCCACGTCCTTAGCCTTTACACCAATTTCCATATGTTTCGATTTTCATTGTGCCTCCCTATCCTCGCTCACCGTCACACACATTGGCCCACTATCTCGACAACAATGAGCTTTCAAGTTGCAGGAGAAAGTCTAAAAATAGAAAGTGAGCAGGGAAGATGCCCGAGAGTTTTTTGAAGTACTTTAAAAAGTCTCGGGGATGTTTACGTCTTTCAAAATTGATCGGGAAATCCCTCCTGTACGTGTGTGAAAAGCTGATAAAGTGGAATTTGCTTGTAGCAAAGGGCTGAAGTACAGAATCGTAACAATTCAGATAGAAAGAAGTAAAATGTAGGGAAATTTTGTTTTTCTGATATATTTTCGTATTTTTTATTCTGATCACACATACCAGTCTTAGTTCCGTATAAATACAGCTAAAAACACGTATCATCGGTTATGCCATACCCTGCCATACGATCGAAAAAAAAACGGCGTCAGAGACAGCTGGGGAATAACAAAATCGATGATAATTTTGGCGAGGTTAAGTAATAGACGTCATAACATAGAACGTACTCTTCTTTATGGTGCTCACTGCCAGTTGGTCTTAAGAAGGTTGTAGTTTATTTTTATATTAAGTAATAATAGTTATTTTTTATTTTTATTTTTAAGACGATAATGCAATTCTATCGTCGTGTATAAAACAATATTTTTTTCCATAGCGAATTTAGAATAAGTGGGAGGGGGGTTAATCTTTGCGACCTTAGAGATCTATACCCCCTTTCTTGAGTTATAACTCATCATACAGTCCCAGGACTTCCTACGGAGACCCGTGTCCCTCACAGTCGAGGAGCTACGACCCAGGCCGGGTAGACGAAACGGTAGCTTGTGTCGCCTGTTGGGTTTAGAGGTAGGAGGTAGGCTCCCGACCCTTGGAGGAGGTGGTAGCTTGTATGCCACTTGCGGAGGATGGTTTCACGCAAGTGTCAGCCACCTCTCCTGTAGTTCTCTTTGGGTTTGGCCCCTTGTAACTTTTGTTGTTACTGTTCCCAGTGTCGCTAGGGGTTTCCCCACAGCTTCACCGGTGATGTTTTTTATTACTATTACTACCAGATCTCAAAGTGTTCCTATGAGTCGCTAGGGACAGTCGGTCCACTTCTACAGAGCCCCGCATGTAGAAGTAAAGGATAAAATACAATGGGGTGCCCCCGGTGCCCCAAGGTTGAGGCTGTCCGTAGCCCCGCCCGGTATCGTTATATGTCTTGGTGCAATTCCCTGGCCACGACACTACAGTCAGGGACAAGACGATGAGTGAGATGCTTCTTAGACCAAGCCAAGTGCTAGAGGGGATTCCCCCCAGCACCTGACCAGGAGCTTCCCCACCAACGACAAGGTCTTGCATCTCCTAGGGGAAGCTTGCATCTCCTAGGGGAAGTTCCATAGCGAATTACGTTTTAAAAAATATTCAGAAATTATTATTTCTAGGAATTTATTACGAGTAGAAAAAATATTGTGCCGGGTTGGCGTTGATTTCTATGTAATTTGACAAATAAATAAAACTGTCTCTTTAGTTGTCAGTTTTGAGTCAATATTTTTTAATTCTCTTTCGTGTCGATTGCTGATTGAATTGGAGCCAGAAATGGCTCAAAACGAAATAAGTAAATTACCAACAGATATTCAGGCTAAGGC